AAAAAAAAAAAATTAACCCTCCCCCTTCTTGGCATCATTCCCCCCCTAAATAAGCTCAGTTATTTATTCAGTTTTATACTCTAGAGAAACTGAACTCCGTGGAGGGGACAGGGAAGGRAAGCCCTGGTGGGGTGTGGTGTTTACAGTTTTTGGGAAGTCCTGTAGCCGAGAGTGCTCTTGCTGCCCGTGTGCCCCTTTGCTGTTGCAGTTTCTCAAGTGTGCTGTATGCCTGAATATTGCACAGGTGGTGGAGAAAGGAGCTCATTCCTTTTTCCCAGCAGAATCTCACACGACTCGCTTCCTTTCCAAATGTTACACTTCCAATATTTACCAAACCTCTCATAATCCCGGAAGCTGGCTGCTTTTTTCTGGATTTGTGCTGACTATTGACATTATTTACTGTATAAATAATTTATCATTTGTACTATTGTATCATAATGTCTGTATCTTCGTGTCATTATTTCCCCCCCACCCCGAGCGATGTCACAGCTGTGATGTTTGAACGATGCCATCGGAACAGTGGAAAGACGAGGGGTTTGTAGGTGACTGGTCAGAATTAAAATTGTATTGCTTCTATCCCGGCCCTGTGGCTTTTTCCAAGCTTCTGCGTGGTGTTTGTTATCCCGTCCCAAGCCCGTGGCTGCCCTGCCTGGCTGAGTTTTGTGGGAAGCTGCTGGATTGGGGTGAGCTGCTGGAAGGGTTGTGGCTTGAGGAATCTCGCTGTGATGAGTGGTGCTGCTCGTATGCTGTCAGTGGGATTCCTTGGATGCATCCGTCACTTTTCCCGGGACAGGCTGCTCTGGCTGGGGGAGAGGAGGGTTCTGTGGCTCAGTTGAGACCTTACTAACTCAATAAAAATGAAGACTTGTTGTGTTGCAGGTGACTGAATTCCTTCTTTGACYCACGTTGCCCCTGAAACAATCCCTGTGGAGGGATCTTGGAGTGCAGCCTTGGAGGAAGCTCTGGATTTGTGTCCAGGCAGGAATCTGGGGAAGGAATGAGGRTTGTGGAGTCCTCGCTTCCCATTTTTGCAGCTGAGCCTTGGCTGTGTCCCGTGGCTCACGTGGCAGGGAGCCTGCTTCCAGCCGGGAAGCAATTCCAGCTTCTAATCCTGGCTGCTTTAATTGAAGGGCACTTCATTAGCAGGCAGCGTCAAGAGCTGCCTCTCCAGAGCCCTCCAGGTTCCCTGTTTCATTTGCTGCCAATCAGGCTGATCGCTAATCAATGATCACTAATTAACGCTGAAGCTGTGGCAGGGCTGGAGATGGGACTGTGGGAAAGGCAGCTTTGGGGAGAAAATCCTCTGTTTTGGTGTCAGATGGAGCTGCTGGGGGTGSTGGGGGAAGCTGCTGCTCCAGGAAYGCTCCAGGARTTTGTGGGGAAGCTGTGGCTGCTCCTGGATCCCTGAAAGTGTCCCAGGGCAGGTTGGAYRGGGCTTGGAGCAATCTGGGATGGTGGAAGGTGCCCCTGCCCATGGCAGGGTGGGGCTGGRTGGGCTTYATTGTCTTTTCCATCCCAAACCATCCTGGGATTCTCTGATTCTGCTCCAGCCTCTTGGCATGAATGTGCATTTTAAGCTAAATCCACTCACTGTGTGGAAGATGCGGTGGTTCCAATCATTCCAAAGGAGCTGGATCCTGGTGAATTCTGGTGGATCCTGGTGGCTCTGGGAGCCAGAGCTGCCCCAGCCCGTGGTGAGCAGAACTCTGCCCATGGTCCAGAGCTCTGACCTTGCCAGAGCTGCTCCCCCATCCCACATTTCCTCTTCTGCAGAGTGAGCAGCATTTTCCCGCTTTGCAGAGGAAAAGGACTCTGGATAAGGAGTTATCTTTTGGCTGCTCCTCAGCCACTCCGCTGCAGTTTTCACTGTGTGTGTGTTGCCTCTGTGCCGGGCTGAGGATGCAGCTCTGCCCCTTCCATTTTCAGCTGTGAGGAAAGGGCTGGGTCCATCTCGTGCTCTGCCTTTGGCACAGCCCCTGCACTGCCCTGCAAGCTGCACTTCAGGGAACCGGTGTGATTTGGGCAGCCCTCACATCTGAAACTCCCAYCTTTTGCAAGTTGAGCACTTCCCTGGTCAGCCATCCCCGCTGGATTTCCTAAGGAGAGGTGTTTGTTTGGGAGCTCAGGATTGGGAAGGGTGAGGAGCCAGCGTGGGGCACGATGGCTGCAGTTCTGTCTCTGTTTTGCTGTTGATTGACTGTGCCCTGTCATTGTGGGAGATTTGGGGTTTCAAGGAGTGGGAAGCTCCCTTTGGTGCCGATTCCCAGGAGGGTGTGAATTGGCAGGGTCTGGTGATCCGCAGGGAATTGGAACTCAGCTGGGGTCACCCAGCCTGGTGCTGTGCCGAGGGTGAGGTGGGAAATGAGGAATGGGGGGACAGAGCACATCCTSGGAGAGCCCAGAGCTGTGCCGGGCCTGGATTGAGTTGTGGGACCCTCATGGGGTCAGGAAATACCTCCCTGAGAGATCAGGGAAAATTCCACCCGCTGCCATGGTCAGGGACACCTCCCACTGTCCCAGGCTGCTCCAACCCTGTCCAGCCTGGCTTTGGGCACTGCCAGGGATGCAGGGGCAGCCACAGCTCCTCTGGGCACCCTGTGCCAGGGCCTCCCCACCCTCCCAGGGAGGAATTCCTTCCCAATATCCCATCCATCCCTGCCCCCTGGCAGTGGGAATCCATTCCCTGTGTCCTGTCACTCCAGGCCTTTGTCCAAAGCATTCCAGGATGACCTGTGGCCTCTCAGCCCACRCTCACATCCTGCCTGAGCTGTTCTCAGCGCTTACTGAGCAAACACGTTCCTGTTCCAGGTGAAGGAAAATCAATGACAAATCACCCAGATAAAGCCAGAGTGGAGTAAAGGTGGAGTTTGTCTTCCCAGCTCCCTGCTGCTGCTTCCCGTCAGGAAACCTCTCTGGGGCACTGCAGTGTGATTGCTCAGAGATCATCCCAGGCAGGAATGGCATCCTGSRTTCTGCCCAGGGTGAACCTCTGAAYCTCTGGAGCTGCTGGAGGTSGGATCAGAGCTCCATCCAAGCCAGGGAAGTGCTGCTGGAGCAGAGACCTTGGATTTCCCATTACGGATGAGCTGCCTGATCCGCCCCCCCCCGTGTGAATCCGCCCCCTGTCCCGGCTCCTGTGGCATCGGCACCCCAGGGCTGGGCTGGTTGGGCTGGAGGAGCCCATCCCCGGCCTCTGGAGCGATGGAGGCACAGATCCCCCMCAGGATCTGACTCAGCATGGCCTCATCCCACCCATCCACCCACCAACCCCAGGAATTTTGCACAGCGCTGGGCTGAGCCACCTCTGGGAATGCCTGAGATGGAAATTACCAGGCACCTTCCTGGTGCCCTTCTTTCCCTGCAACCTGTGAGAATCAGGTCTGTGTTCTTCCTAAAGCGATTTTTCTGGCCATGGTATGAAATTCCTGGATTATCCAAGCTCTGGGGTAGCAGAACACCCGGCCTYGGAGCCGTGGGCTGCCTGGGGTTGTGTTGGGTGATGGTGGTGGRGTTTTTTTTGGCTTTTTTAATATCTTCATCAGGAAGTCTGGCACCAAACAGAGCGATGATATTCTCCGAGGTGAATTTGGGTACTTAAATATCCTGGCCTGAATAGAGAGACAAAAATAGCAGCCTTCAGCAGCTCCATGCGTCTGCTGCTCTTCCCTCTGAAGGACGAGGCCGGATCCCTCGGATCCTGCTGGGAAAGCAGGTTGTGTTCTTCCCTCCCTCCCGGGGGCTCAGCCCTGCTTTCCCTGCCCAAAGGACGGTTCTGAGGGATTTGTGCTGTACTGTGCTCCCTGGGCCCAGTCAGGCTGCACAGGAGGGTACCTGGAGCTCTGCAGCCTGGGGGGGAACTGCAAATTTGGCATTTTCTGCCAAATGTAGAGTTTGTTCCTGATTTTACAAATACCCACGAGTGCCTCAGAGCTTGGGGTTTGAGCTCCTCACTGTTTGCCTCCCAGAGGGCTCCTGAGCTCATGAGAAGCCCTCAGGGATGCTCTCTGCACCCCATGGATGTGAGAGGGGACAGGGGTGGCATTTGGGGAGCCTTTGTCCAGCTCTGCTGGGCTCTTGCTGAGGATTGCAAGGCCTGGAAGATTGGCCTGGAGAACATCCCAGACCGCGGTTGGCTGCTCCAGGTTCACCCTGGATTTTTCCTCCCTGGCTGGGCTGGGTGGGAGGGAGTTCAAGGTGCCCTCAGGGGGGGGCTCGGATCTGAGGGACACCCCAGGGATGTCCTGGGTGACTCCTCCAAGGCCACCAGCCCATCCAGCTGCTGTGGGGCCACACGGTGCTGCCAGAGCAGCAGGGAGAGGCTCAGGGTGGGGGTCCCTGCAGGGCCTGGCTGTCCCCAGGAATGGGGGGTGATCCACACTGTGATCCAGGCTGTGATCCAGGCTGTGCCAGCCTGGCCCCGTTCCTTCTGTGGAACTCCCACCYAGCAGTGCTCCCATGACCCCACAAATCCATGTCCACCTCTCTGGATCTGGTGCCTTCATCCCTCCCTATCTCCAGTGGCACAAATGGGGGGAAGCACCACAAATGGGCAGAATTACAGCTAAAACCCCAACTTTCTTCAAACATGCCTGCCCTGCGCTGGAGTGTTTGATTTTTTTTTTTCCTCTGGAGCGTTTCACAGGAGGCTCCTGCTCCCAACCCGACACTGCTGCCGGGGAGAAGCTGCTGTCAGCTCCGATCCCTCTCATTTTCAGACGGAGACAATTCCCAGCTGCCGCCGAACCGCTGGGGTGAGCCAGCCCGGCAGCCTCGGGGCACAGCCGGCTCCTCCGGCGCTCTCGGATGCTCAAATTCCCGGCTCGGTCCCGCTCCCTGCGGAGCAGCCCCGAGAGGTGTTTGGGGACAAAGGGCAGTGCCAGGGCAGCCAGCACGGAGCGATTTTCCATGGAGGAACCGGGGAAATTCAGCGTCCTTCATTCAGCCTCAGTTAACAGTTATTAACCACTTCCAGCGTCCTCCTAAAGGTTGGGAACTGCCACGAGAGGGCAGGAGCTGCTGCTGCTGTTTGGATTTTAGTAAGAAAGGCTGTAAATCCCAGATCCTAAAGATGATCCGAATGGTTCTCCTTTTTCCGGAGGGTTGGATCCCCAAGCTGCTGTTTGCTCCGTGTCCTTGGCTGTCTCCCTGCCAGGATAAAAGCAGGGAAACTCCCCTGGAGGGAATCCAAAAACCTCTCCAGGCCCGGGGAGCTGCAAAGTCCCCAAACATCCCCCGGGTTTCCTTTGCCCCCAGCCCGATTTGTGACAGCCTTGAGGCCCCTCCCGTGTCAGGACTCGTTCTCCAGGAAGGATTTTTCCCTGCCCATCCCGAATTAGGAGGATAACACCCGATTTCACTGTCTGGGAGAGATTTCAGGGCAACAAAGCAGAGCTGCAGCTCCAGCTGAGAGCCTCGTGCTGCTGTCCTGGGGTTGGGAATTTCAGAGCGGGTTGGAATAGAAGGGAGAATGATTAACCAGGGAACGAGCAGGGTGTTCCAGCCGCCGGCAGCGTGGGCGAGAGCAAATCACCAGCAGCCTCTCGCTGCTGCAGCAAGGCTGGGATTTTTGGGATTTACKTTACTGGGATTTGGAAAGCACTGGACATTCTAAGGCTTAACTTCCATGAATAATTAGGGATCCTAAATCCTTTCCTTGTCTTTGTTCCCTGCTCACGGTGTKGTGTCCATGAACAATCAGGGATCCTAAATCCCTTTCTTGTTCTYRTTCCCTGCTCACGGTGTGGTGTCCATGAACAATYTGGGATCYSAAACCYCTCCTTGTCCCTGTTCYCTGCTGACRGTGTCGTGTCCATCTTTATCCAGATTCTCTCCAGGTGCAAACGCTGCCACACCCGAGGAGCAAAGATTCCAACCAGGGGGAGCTTCCCAAAAAACGATCAAGGCAGCAGGAAGGCCATCTCTGGGAGGAGTTTGTTCCTGAAGGATATCAGCACCTGCCTTTCCTAGGAATGGTATTGAGCTTGGGAAATGGTGATTCCAAACATCAGCCCCTGGGGAAACACAAGATGAACACAACCCTCGAGGAAGGGATGTGAAGGGATGTGCTCCAGACATTGAGAAGCCCCCCAAAAAAACCCAAAGTCCAGCTAAACCCCGAGAAAATAGGCAAAAAGCCCTAATAATGCAGGTAGCAGTGTGGGATCTGCRTAGAGAGCACCTTCCATATCCCAAGGTGTCTTAAACCCTCTTTTATGGAGTTTAGGAATTTTTGCTTYCACTGTTTTTAACCTTCCTTCCCATCAGCTCTCAGGGGGAAGCTGGACCAGGTCTGGTTGGTCCCACTGGGGTTAAACATCCAACAATTCCTGTGGAACAGGAGGGATTCAGGGGGGTCGGAGCACCTGGATGCAGAGCTGAGGCTGAATAAATTCCCCGTGGGCACCAGATCTGGGCTTCCCCTGGCTGTAACAGGTTCCTCATGCCTGGTGCAGCTTTGTAGCAGTCAGAACGTGTGCAGGAACTGGGCTCAAGGGGAAATGGGATATTTAGGCAGCAGCAGGGGGTTTAATGTTGCCTCTCAAGCATTTCAAACACAGATATTTATCCTGCTACTGTAGCTAACTGCTTCCTGAACTTCTGAGAAGGAAACAAAATTCCTCACGTCTCCCCTGAGCCAACAGGAAATAGTTCTGAATCTGGATTCCARCATGACTCAGTTCAGAGATTACAAATTACCCAAACAACTCCACTGGAAGTGTGGAGTCAACACAAACAAGGCAGGAGGAACRCAGGAGATGAAAAAACATCCCTAAAAACGTTCAGAAAAGTATTTGTGTGTTGTATAAAGGGTGTGCTGGCTCACAGCAACGTTCCAGCRATCATTTCATGTTTTCAGAAATGAAATTCTGGGAATTCATTCCATCCCACTGTGGATATGAACAATCTCTGCCTGGATGCTTTTTGTGGTTCATGCTTGGGTGTTCTTTGTGGGATTTCTACACTTGCAGATCTCGGGAGTTCCCTTTTAGGGAGGTATTGTCGTTCTCCTGGGATTTGCAGTCAGACACAAGAGGTTACATGCCCAAAATTAAGAAGGAAAATGACTCAGCAATTAGTCACTGCACTGTAGCAAACACTTCTTTTTCTCTTGTACCTTTAGGTCTGGCAGAGCTCGGATGATTTAGGGCCCAGAAACATCCTGGCACAAACAAATAAAACCCCTTAGCAGCAGAAAGACAAATAAATATATGAATACAACGGAGTTTATTCAGCCTAAAAGAGCTCAGAGGGGGATGCATTTCACAGGACCATTTTTGGAAGGTGCAGTAATTTCAATTCCCCATTTGTACCACAAAAAAAAAAAACAAAAACCAAACCAAAAAACTAAAAAGAACATTGCAATGGTTTAACCACAGGGAAACCACTACAGCTCTAAACGTTTCATGTCAGTAATTATATAAAAAGGTGTACAAAAGGCTGCTAGAAAAAAAATTTGTTACAGGCCTTTGAGACAGTCTGATCCCACTCCTAAAAATGCTGAATATTATCAGATGGCATTAATTTACATAATTTACACAATACTTCAACCTTCCTGATAGGATTAGAGTTGCTAATTTTTCCAAATCCTCACGGGCTGGTGTTGTTTGGAATGAYTGAGTTGAAGCAGCTCCTCCTTTCCCTAGAAAGGCACAAAATGCTGAGCTTTGAGCCCCTGCAGGGAGTTCAGAAGCCGTGGAGCCCCTGGGAGCCAGGCCCCAGGGAGGAGCTCTGTGTGGCCACGGGGCCAACGTCGTAGCCCAGCTTGTGCATGTCTTTGGTCATCACGTTGAAGGAAATGGTCACAAAGCCTTGGGATCGCACCCTGGTCACTGCCACAGGGACAAYGGGGATAAATCCAGTTAAAACAGGGGTTGGATCAGCTGTGGAGCTCTTTTTGATCACCCAAAGGTGGCTGGACAAGGAGGCAGGAGCTGCCAGGACTCACCTTCTCGTCCTTCTCCCTGTGCCACCACTTTGGGGTCAGTGAATTCCGGGCGTCTCCCTGTGAACCAGCTTGGGGAAGGAAATACAAAATAATTAATTGGATTGCTCAGATTGATCCAGGTCATGGGATGCACGTCAAGGGGGGTAATAAGATTGCCAGCACAGCTCTCAAGTCTGATTCTCTTTATTGATCTTCTTCAATCAAAGGTAAGTTTTGCCTCTCTAAGGAAAATATGCAACTCATTTCATGCAAATTATGTTAAATACAGGGGGTTTTTTTTCTGGGCTAGAAGAATCTTCCTGTGGCAAAAATATTGTGGAAAAATTCCCCTTGATCGCCCAGAGAGGCTTGGAGACTTTGAATACATACAAAAAACATACAAGGGGGGGTTGTTCTTTCATATTTTTGCTTTCCAGGTTGCTCTTACTGCAGCTGTGCTCACAAAACAACCCCAAGAAGATTCAGGTGGTAGTTCAATGCAGTAAGCAGGTAATTAATACATTTGCAGAAAACTTTTCAAAAGACCCAGACACCTGAAAATGTGATATTACTKGCAGAACACAGAACTGTCTGGTCAYGGCACAGAGCAGTCAGGCCTGCAMCACTGAGTAGCTGCAAATGCCTTTGTGGCTAAGGGCAAGAAGGATTTTAATGGAATAAAGTCATTAATCATTACCTTGTGAACTGCTGCAGCTTTGAGGTGGACTCTGGAACGAACATAGCAATGGTTCTTCTGTGCCTGAAGCAAAGAGGAGACACACAGAACTTCAGGAATGGATAAACAACGAGATTTTTATATTGATGAAGGTCCAGAATTCCTGGCACATCACAGCACTGAGCATCTCCAGGTATGAGGATGCTTCCCCYTGACACAGAAAGGGTTTGTTTGCATGGGAACAACGGATCTTCCTCCATTCCCAGTGGTGGGAATGAGAACTTTATTGTGTGCTGAGAGTGATGGGGGAGAGGTGAGTTACTGTGCTCCAGATCTGGGCTTTGCACGGGCAGTTTGGGCTTTACAGCATTAGCAAAATTTACCTGAGGATGAGAGTTCTGCTAGAAAATCTTTGTACCCAACTACCAGGGCATGATGAGGACACATGGGAGCATTTTTGTTTCAGAAACAACAGAATAACCGGCCCAAAATCTATTTCAGTCCCACAGGTCAGGCTGTCACTCACCTCCCTGGCACGAAGGGCACGTGCACGGCTCCATAACCTCTGACCACGTCATGGCCAAAGAAGTCTGGCCCATAGACACTCACCACGATCTGAGGCCCTGCAAGGAAATGGCACTGAGAGGGGCTTTGGCAGCAGGGCTGGACCCTGCAGTGTCCCCAGCACTCACAGCCAAAGGGGTTGGTGCTCTTGAAGGTGATGTCGATGGGGAAGTTCCAGACCAGCGTGGTGGGGGAGGCGCTGCTCTTGGAGGTGATCTGGGAGATTCCCTCCTCCAGACCCTGCAGGGGATGTGGGGTGAGCCTGGGGCTGTGTAGGGTGGGGGCAGGGTGGGGGCAGGGGGGACAGGGGCTGTACCGCTGTGGGGACCCAGTCCTGGCCGTAGACGAAGGAGAACTTGCAGTAGAGGTCATCAAATCCCGGGAACTGTGGGATAGAGAGAGAGAGAGAGAGGGTTCACTGGGAATTCACTGGGAATTTTAGGGGATGAAGGGCTGCTCAAGGCAGGGTGCTGAAGGCAGCCTGGGCCAGTGGGATTGGGCCGGGGTTGGGGTGGGCTGGGGTCAGGGTGGGCTGAGACTGGGATGGATTTGGGGGCCTGAAACTGAATGGGTCAAGGGGCTGTAGCTGGGATGGGTTAGGAGGATGAAACTGGGCTGAGTTTGGGGGACCTTAGAGAGGGCAGGGTTAGGGGGTATGAGGATGTGCAGGGTTGGGGGGATATGAGGGTGTGCAGGGTTAGGGGAATGAGGATGTGCAGGGTTGGGGGGATATGAGGGTGTGCAGGGTTAGGGGAATGAGGATGTGCAGGGTTGGGGGGATATGAGGGTGTGCAGGGTTAGGGGAATGAGGATGTGCAGGGTTGGGGGGATATGAGGGTGTGCAGGGTTAGGGGAATGAGGATGTGCAGGGTTGGGGGGATATGAGGCTGGGTTGGCTGTGGGGGCTGCGGCCGGGCAGGCTCAGCGGGGGCCGATTCTCATCCCGCGCGGGCGGACGCCGCACTGAGCCCGAGGCCGGTCCGGGGCGATCCCTGCACCCCTCCGGGGTGTTGCCGGGGCGCTCCCGGGTGTGCCGGGGCCTCACGCACCTCCCCGCTCTCGATCTCGCCGGTGACKGCCAGCAGGAACACGCTGGGCGCCGCCATGGCGGGCGCGCCGGTTGCCGTGGCAACGGCCGGACGGGGCGGCGCTGCGGACACTCTTCCCCAGCGCCGCGCTTCGCTTTCCGCCTCTTCGCTTTGCTCCGCGGCGCTGCCCAAAATCGCCCCAAAATCATCTCAAAACGCGGCCACCCCACTCCCGGCACACCAGGCAGCACCGGCACGGCACTACCCGCTCCCCTCTGCACCGCCCGCCCGCGGGGCTGAGGCCGGGATAACGCCCCTTGTTACCCTGGCACCGCCACGTGTCCAGAACTTTATTTATTATTATTTAATATCCACCTAAAACAACCCCAGCACGGGCATTCTGGCTCCTCGGGCAACGGGAACGACCCCAAGGCTGCCGGATTTTAAGGACACCGCTGTCAGGGTGGGGTTTTTGGGGTGTCTGTGCGCGGCAGGGGATGGATGGGATGATGGGATCCCTTCCAGCTCGGGATATTCCCGATGCTGCAGTTCCACGTGTCGAGGCCGTGGCCGCTAGATGATGCTGCCGGCCGAGCTGAGAGCGGCTCCGGCTGCCGGCCAAGGTGTTTGCAGCGAGGAAAAGGGAAAGGAGGGATTTTTGGGCTCTGCGAAAGGTCACCCCCGCGGTGAGGAGAGCGGCTCTCGGTGTCCTGGCTCCTTATGGACATCAGGAGAAGCAGCTCCCTACTGTGGGGTCTGGATATGGGCGGGAAGGGGAGCAAACAACCCGGTGCTGGTTTAATTAGCCCACTCTAATTAAAAGGAAAGGGTGAGTTGGGTGTGTAAATAAGGAAGAWGAACGCGCTGAGGCTTTGCAGGAGGTGGAACCACTGAAATCTGCTGATGGTGACTCGTTCACCCCCAGAGACCACGGTGTGATGGGG